GTGGGAGAGGAAACTATCACAGAGGCTATTTTAACACTGGATTTCATGAAAAGTGACGCCCATAGGCAGCTGGGGATAAGTGACACCAGCACATGGACCTATTTCGGGACTGATAGGAGTCTAATGTTTTCCATTCAGCTCATGACCTCTGTTGACTTCAAGGGACACTATATTTGTGAACAGACTTTGGGAGCCACTCTTCTTTCACTCCCTGTTGAGGGGGGTTTCGATATTCCAAGGACCTCACAGCCATCGATGAACTTTGAGAAATGATGGTTTTTTGGTGGGCTTAAATCCAAAAGCCCTCAGGTTCTTAAAAGGTTCAGATGGAAGATACTTTTATCTGTGTCTTGAAAGCTCTAATAAAAAGAACTGAAATATCACACATGACCTGTGAACTGAGGGGGACAGAGGACCTTTTGCCAAGTTTCCTGCACATTCCCTTAAAAGCAACCTGGGAAGAAAGTGAGAAAAACTGCTCAGCTCTAATGAGCGCCTAATGGGTAGGAGCACCAGAAATTTATTTCGTGAATGCTTCAAAAAATGGCTGAGGTCTTTAACCACTAAACTGCCGGAAAACGTGTGGTCTTATTAAGCATCAGCAGAATAACTGACCAGTGTTTGAGAATCATGAATGTGGCCTTTTTGACTTCCCAAAGTATACAAGGATATTTTCTTTGACTTTCCCTTCTTGCAGATCCATAAAAACGACACTGCTTTGTTCAGGAGACCCGGGACACATGGTGCTGCTTGCTTCTGCAGACACACATCCCATGTTAAATTAAGTTAGAGGTGGTATTCGAAAAATAAATAAATAATGGAGTTCCAATTCACTGCAAATGGTACAGGAGGCCCGTAAGTGGGAAGCCTACAAGAAAAGGACTTCTTTTAGAAAGATGTTTTACAGGACTTTTTCTGCATCATTAACTCTTCTGGAATCCTGAATATAACATGATGAATTTCCCTAAAAAAAGTAGCTACTGTTTAGTTTTGAATCACTTCAAAGAGCCTCAGTAGAAGGAATCAAAGAAAACCAAAAAGACCAGTAGATGTGAAATTCGCCAAGAAAAAAAAAAAAAAGTTTCTAACAGATTTTGACCATGTACTGAAAATACCACTGATTATTTTGCTAATACAGTATTTTACTGTTCCATGCGGCTGAAATAAGTCTCTGTATTCATCGGAACGCAGGATATTTTTATTACAATATTTGTGTCATAGCTCTTTAAAAAGAAACATATTTAAAACCTTGAAAAGAATCTCTGTCTTAAAATGGTTCTTGATGTGTAGGTGAGTACGTGTGTTTTACTATAAACAGATACTTAATGGGAGTTTACTTTGCTAAAAAGAGTAAAAAAAAATACTGGTAGTCTTAGTCCTATTCCCAACACGTAGTTCTAGAAAAAAAAATACCTAATTTTTAAAAAGTAAAGCAATTTGGAAGGTGGGGAAAGGAAAGAAAGTTGACTGGGGTATTATAATGGTTGTTTGATAATCACCATCATCATCATCATCATCATTGGTCTTTAAAAATGTCTTTTACATAAAACCTGCCCAAGGGAAAAGAAAGAAAACCTCTTAAAAATTCCATATCCCTGAACACCACTACATCAAAACCCATCTGGAAAATGTCAGATAATGGTATCCACCCACCTAAGAAATTCAGCAAACTTTGTCTTCAATTACCATTTAGAATAATCAACTCAAATTGAAATTTCAATTTGAAAACCCTCAGAAGACAAAGCTGGGATTAGGAATCAGATTTTAAAAGTCTCCTTAAAAGACCATCTGTTTAAGACACCCTTCTCACATCCCACCTCGTCCTTGATCTGTACCATAAGTTCACAGCAGAAGCACAGCTGAATTTAAAGACACATACACACAGCTACTATGAAGTCTAGTTATCACATGTATGTTCTGAGCTTGTCTCAAGTTTCTCTTGTTATGTAAGCACTTAGGGGCAATAAAATTTCACTTACATTCAGCAGCATTATGAGTCTCAAAACATTAGTCTACCTGACTGTACAATCCTTTTACTGGCAGTGGATAGCCCTGGTATTTTATTTATATTGATCATATTGTCAATGCTATATGGAATAACCATTTAGTAGCCTATTAGCCTGTAACATTTTATTACTGTTTTTAAATATCATTACCCATACTGAACTCCATATTAGAAAAATCAGGTTGGAAAATCTAAATATTCAGAAAGAACTACAGAGCTTTGCCCCCCCCCACACATAATTTGCAGACTGATGAGAAGAAAGGAAAACAATGAGTATCCACTTCTCACAGATAGAGGTCACTAATGGACTGAATTTGAATCACTGTGGCAGAAACCACTAAGTTATTAAAGTAATCTAGTGAAAAATGAACTTGAATTAAAATTAAAGTAAAAATACCAAAAGATGATTTTTCAGAAAGGTCTGACCTGAATAGAAACAAAATCGCATCACCTGGCTCTAAACAGTCTTGTTTAGAGCTGTCTTCTAAAACCAGGGAGCAAAACTGAGAGCACACTATCCTTTGCTGTTTTTTAACTTCAGTCACTTCTGATTGCAGAAGTAGCAATTCTTCCTTGTAGGGTGCAAGACTGAAGAGTCAAACTAGATCAGATGTTCACCCTGAGTCTCTACAGAATAAGGTTTCTGGACATACATACTTGAGCCTTTCTTGAAACCACAGCTTCAGACTGGGAAGATATAAGGTTGCTTCAGGGAGATATGTCTAAATCCTAAATCAAACTCTCCAGCAGGCCAGAATATAAATGTAACAGGCATCAGAGGAGGTTCAAATTAGATCCAGCCGGTCAAAGTCAAACTGGGATAAGATCACATCATCTGAAACCTAGCCTTCAGGGGAAAAACCATGACTGCCTAGGGGACCTCAAGGCAGCCCAGCATGGTGTCATTTGGGAATCTACTTTCTTCTGTTAAAAGCATCCCCTGGAATTTCTAAAACTGTAGTGAAACTACTGAAGTGTTAAGACATAGGCATCTTTTTTAAAATCAGCATTCTTTCCATGCTAGGTTTGTAATAGGTTCTGCTACTGGGCTAGTCCACTTACAATTTCTTGTACCTACTGGCAGAGACATGGAATAATGCTTGAAATTTCATCTTCCAACATCCTCCACTCCACTCAGATATTTGCAACTCAGCATGACAGTATGGGGCTGAACCTCCATCAGTGATTATTAAAAATTCTTAAATGGTTTAACCCTATCCTGTTTGGGGCTTTTGAGGAGGGAAGGAAGAAAAGTTGTATTTGGAGGAGCAATAACATCATGGGGAAATAAGCAACTTTTCATGGAATGTGTATTTCCCAAAGATTTATTCTCTTCTAATATGGCCTGTCGATCTTCTATATCTGGTGCATACTGCTTAGTAATTAAAAAAAAAAAAAAAAAGTCCAGTTCTAACATTTTAGATACTGACCTAAAATTTTACATTCATACAGCAACAACCCGAATACCTCCCTGGGCAAATGCCAACCTGCATTCTCTTACCCCAAATTATTGGGGGATCCTCTCACTGGAGAATTGGGAAGGTCCTATCACTTAAATACACAGACAATATGGGTTCCTATATGGAAGCTAGCCTACATATTAGCTTTTGGCTAGGAGAAGTTAGATGTAATAAATTTAACAATAAGCCTGTGTGAGCAAGGGGACATGCCCCAAAGCTCCCTGAAACCCTGTGTGATTTAAGAGCCTCCCAGCTGAGTGGTAAGCAATAGCTCCCATTTAGATGGGGCTTTGCATAGAGCAAATGCAGCATGTGAAGAAATCTAATCAGCACCTTGCACTCTTGCGCGAGCATTTACACGGATTTGTGCCCTGCACTCGATTAGCTTACTGCAAGCTTTACAAGAGATCTCCTCCACTAAAATTAATCAAAAGCTCTTGGCGACTGCTTTCCATTTACAAGAGAAGTCAAGATGAGCTTCCAGGTGAATAAATAATGATCATAATAATGATGACAGCAGCAGCAAATGCTGAGCATCTCTGAAACTCAGCTGGGGGAAAGGGGATGGTGGGGAGTTGGGGCTGGAATATTTCTGTAGCTCTCTGAGGGAAAAGCAGGAGCTATTTTCTCAGTTAACCTAAGTAAGGCTGCTGTTTGGGAAAGGTTACCATATTTTCTCTCCACTGCCCCTGGCCCCAAGTGCACCCAGGAGACCACTCTTTCCCCTGCACCATCGTGTATCAGGCCACTGAGGAACAACATGCCTCTCCACAACACCATTAACCACCACCCCCAACACACACACACACACACACACACACACACACACAGAAAAATCATGTTAAATTCACGTCGCCAAAGGCTAATGTGTTTCATCTCATACTGCAATAAATATGAGACTTCTAAAGTTTTTATTTTATGACGCCAGAAGGTGAATGGAAGGAGGGAGGAAGGGAAGGCTCCGGGGATGTCAAAGTGGGAAAAGGAAATTTTCCCCTTTACTTGATATTCTCTCTCTCTCTCTCTCTCTCTCTCTCTCACACACACACACACACACACACGCGCGCGCAATTTGCTTTCCTGCACCAGCTAAATGAGGTGGGCTCCTATCATTTCTAAAAGATGCTAAGCTAAACAGGGCTGAGAGAGTGAGAGGGTGAAGGTGAGGGGGTGAGGGTGGCAGGGAGTGAAATCTATGCACCATTCCCCCGGGGTTGAAGAATACTAAAAGCCCCTGAATCCACATTCTGTTTCCGAGGAGCTACAAGATGAGGCTCCAGCTGGGGCCGAGGTTTCTCACCCATCCCCAGAGGAGCCTCATCTCCCTGCACAGCTGCCCACCGAGGGCAGAGAAGCGCCGCGGGCCCCTCGAACCTGACTGTAGATCTCCCCGCGCTGGGTGCCCATCCCCGGGATCTTGAACTTCGCCTCCCTCTTACTTTGACTCAGATCTGCCGAGCGTCAGGAAAGACGCTGGGAAGAAGCAGGAGCTCAGCGGCGGGTCAAGGAAGGAGACGGTTGGGGGTGCGCGTTACCTGCGAAGGTTCTCGAGGTCTCCTTCCAGCCTCGGTGGTAATCTCGCTCAGCGCCGCGTCCTCCCCCAGATCCAAACTTTTGCTAGGTCCTCCGGGTGGCGGCGGCGGCGACGGTGGCGGGTGCTGAAGCCCAGCCTTGTCTCCCGCAGCGTCGGGGCGCGGGGGTGCGGAGGCCGGAGCCTCAGAGCGGCGCGCGCCTCCCCGCAGCCTGCCGGAGCCCGGGCGCCCCGCTCGCCTAGCTCGCTCTCGCCTTTCTCCTCTACGGAGCCGCGGCATCGTCTTCCCCCGTCCTCCGCCACCTCCGCCTCCAGGGCTCGGGCATGCCACTTTCTCTCGGCTCCGGCCGCCGCGGCCCCCGCCTGCTTTCCTCCTCAGCCTCCCCCTCTCCGCCTAGACCAAGCCACGAGTTCCGAAAGAAGCAGAGAGAGTGGGGAAGGCTGCGGAAACAGGCCCCGCAGCGCCGGGGCTCCTCAGAGACCGGAGGACCTCGGGGGTCAGCCGGAGAGCCGGGCGGGCGCGCCGCGGGCGCTTGAGAACCCACCGCGCGGAGCCCGGAGCAGGGCGCTGCGCGGGGCTGCGCGGGGGCGGGCGCGGGGCTCGCTCCAAGTGCTGCGCCGGCGGGGCGTGGGTCCTGAGGCTGCTCCGACCTCACTGCTGCCTCGATCGGTTGCGTCGGGGCTAATGTAGACGCCGCGGCTCCCACCCCCACCCCTCCTGACACCCCCGGGAGATGTTTACAGTAATGAATTCGCTGGATCGCCTGCGCCGCTCCCGCGCTCCTCCTCTCACTCTGTCCCTCGCGCTCTGGCGCGCTCCCCTCCTCGAGCCCTCTTTCTCTGCCCCCCTCCTTTACTCCCTCCCTTTCGGAGTCCCTCCCACATTTCTGGTTTAAAGAATGCTTGGGAGGCGCGGCTGCAACCCTAAGCTTTCCAAGAGGCAAAGTCTGTCTCGGTTTTTAACCCTCTCCTCCCCGAAGAGAGTTGCAGAGTGCCTGGACCAACACCATGGATGCCACCCTGACCGAGCATGCCTTCTCGCTCTAGCCAGCCCTATCCCACCCCCAACTCTTAGGGAGAATGCCACCGTCTGAACTCTGAAAGTCGATTTCCCCCATGCCCTCTAAGCCAGAGGATCTATTACTTGGACACTGAGAAATGATCGAAACGTGAGATTAGAGGGTAAAAATATAACAAGACTCTCTACCAAGATGGCGTTATTTCAAATGAAGGCAACCCTGATGATGTGCTCCCCCACCCCCACCCATCACCAGTTAACTCCCTTATCCCGGACCTTATTAAATAACTAATTGGAAAAATAATCGGAAGTTTAGTATGATTATCTTGAATACCTATTTCCTCCCCTCACTCTAGCTGCTGGAAAAAAAGGATTGTTCACTTTCCCCATACATTACAACGGACAACTAAATTCAGCCTCAAAGATTCAGGAAACAGACTTAGCAAAAGGAGCCCGATTTGTATACGGGCAACGTTTCCACTTCGCAATCTCTTTGCAAAGGTTTAAGAGTAATGTAAGAAAACCAGGTGCACGTCTCTTTCTTGGAAAACATATTTCAAAAGGTTCTGTTTTTTCCTCTCATCTCATTGTCGCTCCTCCTGCCTCCAGTAAGTTGCTGTCATGTTTTAACAAGTCTGTGGAGAAGCTGAATGTGAACAGAAGAGGGAGAGCGAGCTCGCGCCAAGCTCCAAGCAGCGCCAGAGACGCGCCGTCGGTGGGGCCACGCGGGAAGCACAGATCGAGCTTGAAACTAGCTCAGGACCAACTCCCTAGGGATGCGCTGGGCTGTCTCGGACGAAAGGCTGGGCAGGGGTGGTGGCCTCGGCTGACTCAGGAGGATTTCCCCGTCTTCAGTTCAAAGTCTGAGTCACTTGGCGCCACTTTCCCAATTGTTTTTATTTCCTTCGCATCCCTGTTGTGTCTACCGCCTTCACTTGAGTGCCTTAGTTGTGTTAAGGGGACTTGCAGAAACGCCCCATTTGCCTCCCAAGCACAAGCCACGCATGGATCCACCCAGACGCATGGCCGAGACGCACGCTGGCACACGCTCTCTCAGGCGCGCACACACGCACACACGACCTGGGTTTGTGCCCGAGGGTCGCTGTTTCTGTTGCATTATGCAGTGGTGAGGAAAATACTTTGATTTACATCTACATAACCGCTCTTCTCCCCAAACTCAGTGTGTGACTAACAAATACCCTAAAGAGGAGGGGGCACGGCGGGGGTAGTTAATTGGACCAGGACAGTGAGTGCCATCTTGCTGGGAGGTTCCAGGAGCAAGGGGCCAGCGTCGACTGCCGCGGTGGCCTCCACCTCCACCTCCAACAGCAGCTGCCGCTGGTTTGAGCCCCACGCGATCCAGGAGTTTCCCTGGCATCACTGAGAGTCCAGACGGCCCCAGTCACCCTCCTTCCCGATCCTTAATTTCCTTGGTTAATGCCCCGACCTCAACTGACAACCTTGATCTTGGGCCTGATTGGAAATGAGAAGTGACCGAGCCGGCGCTGAAGGCATGGAGACAAACCCGGGACTGGTCAGCGCGGCAGAGGGATCTTTGCAAGCGACTCCGAGCCCGCGCGGGGACACGGTGGCAGCTGGCCAGGCTCTGCTTCCTCCTTCCTCGCCGCCGCCGGCCCCCGGCACTCAGAGCTACCAGTGGGGGGCCTGGCACTTTCCGCCCCCTGTCCGCGTTCCACTCACGAGTCTCAAACAAGGCAACGGGAGTTCAGCCTGGTGCGCTGCCTGCGCCTTCATCACCCACGCTGGCGCGTCGGGAAGACGCTCCGGCCACAGCTCGGTGCCCGGCCACTGAAGACCGGCAGAGCTGGAGAAAGACTTGGTTTTGGTAAAAAGAGTAACCCTCTCCCCAACTCGAAAGAAAATGCACTGGCATCCTCGACATCTTCTTAGCCACGAATCAATCCCGGATTGCGGGCGGGGCGGGGTGGGGGGGGGGGGGGGGGTTGGGGGTTTAGGTATCACCGCCTTTTTACACTCCCCGAAATCCCCCCGGGGTGGGGGGGGGGGGGGGGGGGGGGGGGAGGCGGGTTGGTGGCTTTAGATGTAACAGCTTGATAACATCGGCGACCTTATCAGCAGATGGAGTGGGCGCGGGGGTGGAGGAGTAAGGGGTGTTACTCCTAGAAGTTATCATATGCATCCTGGCAAAGTGAGACGCTGGATTACAGCAAGCTTAATGGTTCTAGAACCGCGATTTGGGATCTATCCTCCCAGCGCACTGACAAATGTGTGTTTTGACCCAGAGCTCAGTTACAAAACTCTTTCGAGGAGAGGAATTCTACCTGCAAATAGACCTCCCTAAAGTCCGGGGGAGATTTAAGCAGCTATGCTCTCTCTGGAGGCAAGAGGAAAGCTAAAAATATCCCATCCCTTTGACCACCCTACGCTGGTTCAAAAAAAAACATTATCTTCCCCCCAACCGTGTAGCAGCAGCCCTGGCGGTTACTGGAAAGTCCACCTGGCACCTCTGTCCCTTTACCTGGCGGCCGCCGTGTCTCCTCGCAGTGGGCTCATCCGAATCCGACCGGGTCGGGGAGGTGGAAAGGGAAGAAGCTGGCGCGGCAGCAGCGGGGCTCCCGGGGCATGGTATTGTTTTAGGGGTCACCGCCAAGGTCCCTCCTGCCCATCGTTGAAAACGGTCAACCTGATCCCGGGTCTGGGTGGACACCGCGGCAGGCGCAGTGCTGCCGCCTCGCAGCTGCTAGACACCCGGAACCGAGGGTGAAAGACGCACCCCGGGCGGAAGCAGCGCAGCGCCTTGGCGCGGAGACTGTAGCCACTGATGTTATCTCTGAGCGCTCGTTCTTCTGCGGTGACAATGGAAGATGACAAACTCGCTAAGTGACAGCGACAGGTTTCGAACGTACAACTAACTACAAGGTACCCAGTCCGAGACACTATGCTGCTTCCCCCCGCCCCCTTCTCTCCCTCCTACTGGGGAGGGAACTAATTTAACCCTGTGTGCGTCCTATTCTCCCTGGAGAAGCTGGAATCGACTCGGAAACCGCAAGCGGCGGCTCCTGGGGCAAGAGCTTTGTTCACGTGCGTTTCCAGTGGGTGTGTTGCTGTCTGGGGGCATTCGCGTGGCAAGACGCCAGTGGCAGGCTTCCAGCGCCAGACTCCGGCATGGGAAGGAGACCTAGCGTTTCATCCGGACCAGACCCAGCCCTCGGAATCTATTTTTTGCCTCCAGTTACCCGATTTATTGAAGTTGCCAGCAAAGTTGGGTTTTATTCCTTTATTTTTTCCTCTCTCCCGCCCCCCGTATTATTTCCTTTCCTAGCGATGCTTTGAAGAAGTGGAACTCTCCCCTCATTCTAATTCTAGCTTATAACTGTTTTGCGTGTGCGAGACGAATGGTGGAGGGTACCCATCCACCCACGCAAAATTTAAATGAAACCGCCGGGAAAGCTGTCTCCCACCAACTCACCCAGTGTGGGCAATGGCAAATGACCACATATTCAAATAAGACCAAGACGCCCGGAAGATGAAGGGGAAGGTTTGGGGGAGTTAGAGCTGTGCGAATAGGGAGATGGAAGGGAGAGAGAATGCGCCTTAGAATGGAAGAAGCAGGGGAAACACAGACAAGAATGATGATGCAGAAAATATACCTGAGTCCCAACACTGAAAACAGCAGGTCAGCTTTAAGTGCCTAGATTTTGATGGGCAATATTTCCTCAGCTCCTTGGAAGCAGAATGAATGAATGAATGAATTTGGGAGTTTGTTTTGTTGTGGTTGTTGTTTTTTAATGAGAGGGAGAAAGTGAATATGTGAGGCTCAGCCCTGGCAACCCAAATACTTTGTTTTATAAACAGCTTTGTCTAAGTGCTCCGAACGCCCAAGAAGTAAACTGGAGTTGGAGGTCAGTCATCTCCTAGATGTGGAATGGAAACTTAGACAAGAGAAAATGACAGCTCTAGCCTCTGCTGTCATTGTCACACCCAAATGAGCCAGAACGTTGCCCACAGCGCAAACTCAGACAATCTTCAACAGATTCCCTTTTTCTCCACCTCCATACTTAACTAAAGAAAGAAAGAAAGACTGAGTCTTTAAAAATCATTTAGAGGGTAACACTTGGATCTTGCAAAAACTGAGTTATTTTTAAAAGAAAAAAAAATGTGTTTCTCCATGGGATAGATAGATGTTCTAAGTTCTCTCTGCAACATACCCAAGCCAATGGGAATCTGTAATACCCATTTTAAACGCCCCAGAGCCGGGTCTGCCCACGGAGGCAATGGGAACAGTTTCCAGCCAGCCTGGCGCAGAATTTTGTTGTAAATCCTTCTAGTTTGCCAAGGTGGCAGCAAAGCATAGGGAGAGCTTGTCAGGCAACAGAATCAACATGGAAGACCACATTTTAGGACAAATACTCATCTACCTGCTTTTTAATACTCATCTTCGTGTATATAAGTGTACGTAAGTATCCACATGAGATTCTTTCTTTGAAATCTTGATCTGAGATAACAGTATAATTATTTCATCTTTAAGAATACGTTTTTGTTTAAAAAAAAATGGAACTCCTTATAGGTTTTACTTTCTGATTTATGCTGCCAGAAATTGACTAAGATTTAAAAAGAGAGATGAGGTGGCTGCAGATGTACAGATTTTCTATTTCAGATTACTGCTGTTTATAAATTGTAAGGAAACACTATCATCTGTCTGTGCTCCCTGTGATAGACTATTGATGGGATAACTGTAATCAGGACAAGGAAAACAAAGTACAGAAAAACATCACATCAGATATATGAAAAGAATAACTGTAA